AACAGCCCCATACCATGACTTTGGCTCCACCATGTTTTACAGACTTAATGGTATATTTTTGCTGGAATTCTGTATTAGATGGACGTCTTACATATTGTCTTGAACCTGTACCTCCATAAAGAACTATTTTTGATTCATCAGTCCATAATACGTTGCGCCACTTTTCGATGGGCCAATTCAGATGTTGGTTTGCGAACTGCAAACGTTTAGCGGTATGTTTTTTTGTCAACAAAGGGACCTTTCGTGGACTGTGTGCATACAAACTTTTCTCTCGTAAGCGTCTACGAACTGTTGTTTCACTCACCTGTAGGTCAAGATCATCTTTGACTTGCTTGGCCGATGAAAATGGTTTGCTTTTAACAAATCTAACAATTCTTCGGTCTTCTTGCGCGGTAGTCTTACGTTTCCCCCCTCGTTTTTCAACTTTTGCTATATAATTTATGGCATTTGAAATCATCTTTGCTGAACATCCGAGAATATTTTGTATATATGAGTAAGATTTACCCTCTCTATAGTGTTTCAAAATAATGTTGCGTTCTGCTGGTGTACAATGATGTAATCGGCCCACTTTGAAAGGTTTAGAAAACAATTTTACCATTACGCATACTCAAATAAATAAAGAATATGTTATAATTGAAGTAGTACTTACTTTTTCAACGAAAAATACTAAAATCTCTTCAAGTTTTGTTAACTAACTTTAAAATTAATACAACCACTGCTATTTTAATGCATTTTGTCAATTACAATATTTTTATTAAAAATAAAGATATTCTACAATGTAATGAATTCTCATTTGCTCAATTTATTTATCTCATTCTAGTACATACACACATAAAAAATTAGCCCTTCTGTATTAACAGAAGGAGAGTAATATTGAAAAAACAAATAATTTTTTGGTACTGCTATTTTCATGCTCACAGCTGTATATAGGGGAGATTAAGGTAATGGCGAACGTGAGGTAACTCCGAACATGGTCAAAACGGAGTAATAAAATAAAATATTTGATAATTTCTTTTTAGCTACTGAGAGAAAATCCTACGTTAAGTTCCCGACCTGCAGCAGTGTAATAAAGCTGCAATTGTTGTTCACGATAACTTGGTTCTAACATTTTCTGATAAATTCATGCAATATTGAGAAACAATATACAATAATTCTTGAGAAACAATCCTATTGTAGCTACTATAAATATAAAACCACTCCTTTTGTTGTAATTGGTGCGTAGTGCCATAATGAAGGAGTTTTTAACACGTATTATATTTTAGATATGCTAATATAACCTCAATAGATAAATTGTATTTCAATTGTTTGTGTCGGTGGGATAATAACGAACGATCATTGTGGGTAACTTCGAACGCATAAAATGTGAACACATAGACATCAGGCGGCCAGAACATTATTGTTTCTAACTTTTTTCACATTTAATTTTAACAAACAAATTGTTTAAATATTATCTTTGTACCTAATTTGCTAAAAAATGAAAAAATGAGAATGTTAATAAAGAAAAACTCGACCATTACTATTAGTTCGCCAAAAAGAAATATTTTAGAGCAAAAAAAAGATAGGAAGGGCAAAAAAAAAAATATTTATTGATGGTATAAGTATAAAGAGAAAGAAGAACTTTAATCAATTAGAAATAATTTACCATCGTGTAAAGAAAAAAGAGTGCCCGAGGGAAAGTTTGTTGTTTATTTAGCAAAAACAAATATCAGGATCCGCCCATGAAACACTGGATCATGTGTCATAAATGCAAGACCTGGTTACACGAGAAATGCATAATTTTTAAAAGCGTGTTGGTGTATTAAGTTGAAATAAAAAGTTTATGAAGAAGACTGAATTATGTGTTACAATTTATCGTCAGCAGAAGCATGTTGCTCGTCTTATCAATTATAAAGATCGATTTGTTCATGTCAAACCATTATTATTTCAAACTAATATTTATCAGCTAAATATTTTAATATGGCTCGACTTACCTCCACAGTTGCTTAACTGACCCCGTTGAGACAAATTAAGCAACTTAGCAAACTTACAAATTTACGTGTTAAACATTTTAAAATAAATAAAAAAACTGTGTTTAACAATATTAGAAGAAAAACATAATTTAAATAAAAATAGAAATTTACAAATAAATTTCCTAGGCAATATTTTCTCAAGCAAATCAAAAAAGTATACTTTTTTCCTAATAATTTTTTGTAGGTTAAAATATCTTTCCAATATTATAAAAACTATGTAAACAGGACTCACTGTTCATGACATCTATTAGATTTAGTTAAGCCTCGCTCTACTCTACTAATAAATTCAGAGGCGCCAGTAGCGCTTTATATATATATATATATATATATATATATATATATATATATATATATATATATATATATATATATATATATATATATATATATATATATATATATATATATATATATATATTATATATATATATATATATATATATATATATATATATATATATATATATATATATATATATATATATATATATATATATATATATATATATATATATATATATGTATATATATATAGTTAGAGTTCTGACTCAGTACTAAGAGGTCCGAGCCAGAAGTCAGTCATCTTTACATTGTTTTGGAATCAGGAAGTCAGGGAGTTAGGGAATTAGTGACATAAATAATCTCAAAATAAATAAAATTTATACATGCAAATGGTTGTTAATAACGGGTGCCACGGGCACACTTAAATTTACTAGTTTACGATATCGGTTAATATAATGGGGTTGTAACATTATCTCAAATGGACAATTTACGACAAAAACGTCCCAAATTGTCCGGCAAAATAAATTTTGGAATAATGTTATCTATTTGATAACAATCTTTGTTATTACTAATATTATGATTATTCTTAAAATATAATGGGTTGAAAATAGACTTAAGAGTCTTGATACATTTCTGACTAATTTTATAATTTATTATCAATTCAATAAAAAATTTATTTATTCATTTTTAGGATACGAGATACGATACGATACGATACGATAGATACGAGAACAAGTTTTAGTTTAATTAGTTATCTATTTTAATTTTTTTTACTAATAAATATTTTTTTTTTATGTTTAGTATTTTACAACGAAAAAACACGAGTTTGTTTTATGTTTCAAATTATTAGTTTTTTTTATATAAAATATTTTTGTGCATTTACCAAAACCACATGGTTAACTACCCTTAATTTTAAAATGTCTGGTATGTGGATATTTTTTATTAAATTACCATTTTTTAAATGGGATTGCAAATATTAACTCTTTCCATTTGTTGTAAAAGAAGGCTATGTAAACAATGTGGATTTCTGTTTATTTTAAAAGATTTTAAAAGTATTTCAATAAGTTTTGGTACTTGTCTAGGATAACACATTATGAATTGCATTTTATTATACTTTTGTAAACATTTTTACTTTATTCATCAATCAACTGCATTTTTTGGTCGTAATTTCTAATCATGTCTAAACTAAGCTTTTATTTTTTTATTGACACTGGTACCGCAAATGATGAAATCATTTTTGCAATTTAAAATAATTTTTAAATGTAATTAAATGACAAAATATTAGCAGTTTACCTAACTTTCGGTATTTCGAGTAACAATAAGATAAATAACATACAACTCTAGTTTATTTATTAGGCACTTTCTTCAGGATTTCAAGTTAAATATAATAATTTATAAGTGTTCACTTTAATATTTACATAAAACACATACGTATATAAACACACACACACATATATACACATATATACGCACACACATATATACATACATATATGTATATATATATATATATATATATAATATATATATATATATATATATATATATTATATATATATATATATATATATATATATATATATATATATATATATATATATATATATATATATATATATATATATATATATATATATATACATATATATATATATATATATATATATATATATATATATATATATATATATATATATATATATATATATATAAAGGGGATGTATAGGGGGAGGGTAATGGGGGTGATTTCCCCCGATTTCCCTCTGTTTTTTGAACTGCCCCCCCTACCTCCTATTTAACACAACATATTGTTTGTAAATGGTTAGAATTAAAAAAAAAAAAAAAGTTTTATGATTTATGACCTTGCCTGCTCACAAACTATTAAACCTAAAAATGTCTTCCTACTTTATCAAATCGAAAAAAAATCTTCCTTTTCAAAAAATATATATATATATATATATATATATATATATATATATATATATTATATATATATATATATATATATATTATATATATATATATATATATATATATATATATATATATATATATATATATATATATATATATATATATATATATATATATATATATATATATATATATATATATATATATATATATATATATATATATATATATATATATATATATATATATATATATATATATATATATATATTATAATATTAGTAAACTAAGGAGTAGGCCAAGATGCAAAATCATTTTAGATAAGATACAAAATTATTAAAAAATGTTGAACTAAACGTCTAATTGTAAATAAATAGCAAGTTGACAATGTTTTCATTAATCATTCAGAATAAGATTTGTTTTTGCTTTTAGTTTTTATTTCAAAATAACTATCATCTTGAAAATCAAAAGGTTATGAAATTCAAAGAACCGTTTAAAGCATCCTGCATGCATTATTGCAAACAAGCAAACAACATTAAAAAAATTTATTTACTATGGTTTACTATTACCATGGTTTCTTTACTTTTGAACTTTTATATTTTTGTATGTTTTTATAAAATATATATTTCCATACCGACTTTATAAATGGAAAACTGTATTGTATCTCTTTTTTCAGTATTTGAACAGCTTTTCATTATTTAGCAACACGTGTGATCATTTTTATTTCAAATGTAAACTCAGCTTTACTAGTTGTTTTTTAAAACTTTTTTTATGATATGCATATCAGTAAGTATAGCACGTTCAGCTGATCAATTACAGATCTGCAGTTGCGTTGATTAGATTGATGTTAAGCGAAAATCAAAAAAATCTAATAAAGAAAAAACATCATTCATGGCTCTTAACCGACATACTTCTGGTTGCATTCACGACATTAACTCGCTTATACGTTATCCACGTAAAGCGACTCCAATGATCTTTGGCCGATTCCAATCATCTAAGAGTGCATTTAATTCACCCATATTCAAACAATACAAAGAACGTAAGTAATAGTTATTTTATGGGATTGATTAGAACATATTTGTCAAGATATCTATACTTTCAAACAGGTATTAACAACCATATTTACCTGCTGGTTAGTCACCCCTTGCCTTTGACAGCATTGTGTTGCGTTTAAACGTTTAAGAATAGCTTTTGCTTCCAATACCAAACTATAAAATCAAAAAATTATAAAGGTTATGTAAATATGTGAGTATAACAGAAAAATAAAATAAAAAAAATATAACAAATGGTGCTATTAAAATGTTTTCCCTTTATTGCTTCAACTATAGAAAGATTAGAAGCTTTCTTAACTAAATAAATATACCATGATCGTGCAATAAACACATATAATAAAATTAAGTAAAAAGAAACTTAAAATAAATGTATAATGAATTTATCAAAGGCATTTTACGTTACTAACATAACAAACAATACAATTGTAAATACGTACATAGTGTAGAATAAAGTAGGCATTCACAATTTGCAAACAATTTGTTTCTCATTGTACTTCACTTATATCAAAAAAGTTTTAAAACTTTTTGAGACTCACAAATAAGTTCTTATTTAACCCTCCCCCCTCCTCAACAGACTAATTATTAAAACAAACTTATGACTTTGCTAAAGCTTAAATGAGTTTAAGATAAAAAAAAAAAAGAAGTTTTAAATAAAAAAGCTGCCAATCTTAATTATAAAAGTTTTTAATCATAAAGAACCTTTTCCCTCCTCCATTTCAATAACTTTCGAACGTTTTAAAACTTACCCTCACGCTTATTTAGTTTGCATAATTAATAAAAGTTCTCAAATGTACCGCTTACATTTTTATTGATTTTTAAGCTCGTGTTTAGTTTTTTTTCTGTATTTTTTTCTAGAGCTATTTTTTCATCTCTATATTTAATAATGGATGTTCTTTTTGTTAAAATTTTTATTAACAACAGCAAAGATGTCGTTATACATGCTCAAATTTTTTACTCATCAAAGTGAACATTTGTACCTTAATTAAACCTTTTCATAAATCAAGCATAATTTTTAATACTTGCATCGCTTCATGAACGTTAGAGTGACCTCTCTATTAATGAGCCATAGCAACTTTTTCAAAGAAAAAAGTTATTTTCACAACCTTTTATGTTCAAGTTACACAAAAAATTTTACTTTAAAATGTTTCTTTAAATTTTTTTGTCAAACTTGAATTTAAGAACAGTGCAAGGTTTTTAAATTTCTGGCTACAATTTTACTGCACCAGAGCTTTTTTTTTTTTTTTGTTATTCACTACATGATTCGAAATACAAATGCTTAAGATACAAATATAAAAGAGAATAATTACACTTAAAAAAGTAAAGGATAAATATAAAAAACGCGCACACTCTAAGAAGACTTTAAGGTCTTGTCACAGAGAACCGTTGTTGTAACTTAGACATTTCTTCCGTTAAAGTTTTAAGTTACTTGCTTACAGGTGCTTGCAACGAAATTACATAGCCTTCCAAACGACTGTCTCATGCGACTTTTGTCTGCGATTTTCAGATTAATTTCATTTTCTGAAAATCAAAATATATAGTCAAGTAATCTTCATTCAATGATTATTACTTCTTCATTTTCTATATCAACGACTAATTTCTCCATGAGTTACATGTTTTTTTTTTTTTTTTTTTTCTTGTTTTTTTTTAGTTATCAAAGTGCTTCAAAAAGATTTATCATAGAGCATCGTGGAGGAGTATTTAGCCGTTAATTTAATGCCTTCTTTGCTTATTAAGCTAGAGCCGTTATCGAACCTCGAACATTTTGGTTCTGAACCAGAACTCTAATCACAGTCTTACTGTTGCTTAAATTAACAATCTATTTAGTTTCTTTTTTTAAGATTTAAAACGCGCTGCGCAATATAAATATCATTAATTTTTTCTCTCTAAAATTTAGTGTTATATGTTGTTTTAGGTTTATAATGCTTTTAATAAAAAATATAATTTCAATTTGTAAACCTAATACTTGTTATACATTTAGGTTATACCATTGCACTTTACAAAATTACCGTTATTTACCAGATAAAATATCATATAGTAAATAGATTACATTCATAAAAATTTAAAAAATAATTACTGTAAGTGTTTGTACGGCTGTGGTGAAGTGGTTAGAATTCTTCTTTCAGAACTGGAGATCCATAGTTCGAAGCCGGCTCTGGATTTATATATACATATAAAGCATTGGTAAGGAAGCAGGCGTAAATGTCTTTGTTAAATGCTTTCAGAGCCAACCACACCAGGGGGCCAGAGGGCACTGCCCCCTCTTACTTTTATTTTAGAGGTTCATTTCTTTTTTTTTTTTATCTAAAAAAAAATTTCTAGTTTTAGAGGATTTTTTTTGAAACCCGTGTCGTCGGCCCGAAATAAAATAATGTTTGTTATAAGTATTAGGGTAAATTAGGGTAATATGAGCACCTTAAGCGAAAATTGGAATATTTTCAAAAATAATTATGCTCGATCCAAATTTTTTGCGAATAAATGATTTTTAGGAATCCTTTCTCATGATCCACTTAGATATTTGGGCGCGAAAAGTTTTTCTTAAAAACACAGAGGTTTTAAAAAAGTAAAAAAAAGACCCAGACCACTAGCACTTTAAATTAGCTTAAAAAATAACATTAATTAAGTAAAATAATACCAACCTGACAATTAGAACTTATTTTTAGAATATAATGATTCCTTAGTAACAATACTTTTCATTAAAAGATCAAATTTTAATTTTGTTTTCCGCAAAAAAAAAAAAAAAAAAAAAAAAAAAATTAGTTCGTTATTTTTTCAATTTTATAACCTCAATCCTTTGAACGATAAAAATTCAAATTATTGAATTTAAATTACAAAAAAATATTTAATATTGTCAAAATATTTAAATTGTTTACTATGTTTTGTTTTTATTCAAAACGCAATTAAAACCACTGTATTTTAGGACTGTAAACTAAGTAATTTTAATGAAAAACACTAATAATTTGAGCATGCTCATTTAACACAAAAAAACTAAAAAGTTCTTTTGTGTAATATGTGGAGTTAAAAAGTGCAGGAGGAAAACACAAAAAATGGACATACGCACTCTTGATTCTTGGCTGACGATGTATTTAACGTAAAATATATCTAAAAGTCTGATTGATTAGTTTAATAGTAATTTATTTAATAGTAATAATTTACCAAAGATTTTGAATGTTTGAATTACTTACTTAATGTTTGAATTTCTTAAATTTAGAAAATGCCAATAAATAAAGTTGCTTCATATATATGAAGACTTAAAGGAAATAAGGATGCAGCTACATTAAAAATATTTTGAGAAATTATCAATTGAACATTTATAAAACTCCCATGCAGGGAGCGTACAAACATTGACTGACTAAATGTACATGAGCTGACTGAGTGTACATGAACAGTGCATAGTGGCTGACTGAGTGTACATGACAGACGGAGTGTACATTCTTAGATTTAAATGGGGGAGAACATGAGAGGAGAACCGCTACATTAACTAAGGTTTGGGCAGGCAATCTATATTTATTTCGGGCTCATAAAAGTTTCTTTGATCTTATCCATTGTCCCCCCAAAAATTATAAACTTATTTGTATAAATTTTATATTACTTAAAGCGTTATCGATATTTTTATGTATTATTTTAAATTAGATAATTGTTTTTTTCCGCCGGTAATGTGATGCGTATCTCTTACATCGACTTAAGAAACAATTAATTGTTACTAATACATCTACTAATTAAACCGTCGTGCTATATAATTAGTAAACGTAGATAAAACAGTACTTATCCGATTCAATACTTATACGGTATCGCAATACTTTTTGTGATTGAGTTAAAATCATTATCATCATAGGGTTTTCTTTTTTCATCGAATTCGTTAAACTTTTTTTTGAAGGTATTTGAACATGATATGATTTTTTTTCTAAAAAAGGACTTTAAAGATGTCGTTCTTGGCCGTAGCGTGCAGTAACAAAACTGTTGTTTCAGTTCTGACACGTCGTTCAACGTATGTAAAGCCAACTGAATTTTTAAACGTTTAGTGTAGTTTTTTTTTTAATGGAGTTTAAGTCTAATTAATTTTTGCATTACTTTCCAATAATGCTCTAACTGTCAATGCGCTTATTTTAGAAATCTCCGCAGTATACATTTTTTTATAAATTCAAATATTTTTTTAAATAATATGTATTATGTTAAATAATTAGTATTAATATGAAGTTGTTTAAAAATGTATTTAAAAAGCTAAAATTATTATTTTGTTTTATTATTATTCTTTTATGTTCACATCGTACGATTTTATAGAAGTAGTAAAATTTGTTATACTTAAGAATATGCAGCCTTTCACTGTAAGATGACATCTTGAAAATATATTATTATAGGAGCAGCATTCACTAAAGTATATACTCTAATAAAAGTATATCTTTTTTTTTTTTTTACAAAATTAAAAAGATAATACTGTAAGCAGTGCAGACATTTTCACAATAAAATATATATATATATATATATATATATATATATATATATATATATAATAAAAATATATATATATATATATATATGTATATATATATATATATATATATATATATATATATATATATATATATATATATATATATATATATATATATATATATATATATATATATATATATATATATATATATACATACATTCACATAAAATAGGCATAGTAAAATCTTTTGATTTGATGTAGAACTGCTGAAATCTCTATATCTTTCTTTTATTTAACCATTTCTTCAGTATGCTGTAATATAGGCTTCTTATTTTCAAACAAACATATAAATAAATATAAATTCTTAAAAGAATTTATATTTGTTTTAAAAAGAGTACAGCTTTGTGATACTAAATTAATACCTTCAATCAGTAAATTATTCTATGACGATTGACTTGTTTGTCTTAAAATGCCTTTACTTATTAAAAGAAGATATCAAGGTGATAATACAGCTCTATAAAATTTTCAAGGGTTATCATAAAGTTGAATATAAAAAAAATCTTTCCTTCAAATCGCATTGTACTTGGCCATAGTTTAGAATATTTTAAGTAACATTATAGATAATTTTTTTTACTAAATCTAAGGTTAACGAGTTAATTAAAAAACTATCAATATATAAATATATATATATATATATATATATATATATATATATATATATATATATATATATATATATATATATATATGTTATACAATCGTTCTTTCTTTTTGTACTAATGTACTGCACTTAACTTGTTTTCCTAAGCTGCTGCTTAGGAAAACAAGTTAAGTGCAGTACATTTAGGGATGAGATACGTTTAGATTTCATACCTATTGCCTAGTGATGAAATGTGATAGGTTCAAGTTCTATATCTCTTGCTCTATCATTACAAAACTGATTCTTTAAATGTAACCAAATAATAACTAAGTAAAATGTAAATGTAAACTTGATATTAGTTTGAATGTTTTTTAAACTAATATTTAGTTTGCTAAAATTCTTTTTTAAAACTTGTTTTGTGCTGAATAAGAGTAACAGAAATGTTTAAGTTTTTTAATTTTTATAGTTGCTATAAAGTAACATTTATTATAACTTATAATGCAGGAGTTACAAATATACATAGTTGAATGCTGCTTTTATATTTTCTCTTTAATCATAAACTATTCTCATTTATTTTAAATATTTCTAATTTATATTTCTATACTATATTTATCTTATTCATGTTTTATATAGGGTGACCATTGTCCCGGTTTTTACTTAGGAGAGCGCAGCGCTAAACTAATTTTAACTAGTTAAGCATTTTGCTCTTCTATGTACAAGCTGTGACAATGGTCACCCTAGTTTTATATGTATATATATATATATATATATATATATATATATATATATATATATATATATATATATATATATATATATATATATATATATATATATATATATATATATATATATATATATATATATATATATATATATATATATATATATATATATATATATATATATAGATATATAACGTCAGTGATGATTGATTCATAGATATAATATTGAATTTAAGTATCAAGATTTTTTTTTTGCATCGATAGGTATGCCAATCAAATTAAAAGGTATTTATAGGTATTTACATTTTAGAATTTGAATAAAATCGTTATATAGAGTAATATTCCTGAAATATAGATTAATATTGCTAAGTTTTTCATTAATTGTTCCTAATTTTTAACTATTTAAAAATTATTGTTTTTGTATGTTATTAGCTTTATTTTTTTGCAAAGAATTGCTTTTTATGTTGTGGTTTTTAATAGATATCTTGCAATTTAGCTTAAAGTTCTTAAGCATTACTTTTTTTTCAAATACTCTTTACTGGTATTATTAGATTTAATTATAGAAATTGTGGTTTTTGAAATAGATTTTTCAGAATCTTTTGTAAACACTTCATATATATATATATATATATATATATATATATATATATATATATATATATATATATATATATATATATATATATATATATATATATATATATATATATATATATATATTTATAAATTTATATATATATATGTGTATATTTAACAGTAATATAACAATTAAAATTTATTTTGGTAAATTTTCTAATTAAATTAAAAGAAATTTAGTTTAAAGCCAAGTATTTGAAGCCTTTTTTAATCTAAGTTCAACTGTTTAAAAAAATTTCTATTTAGTAGCATTCAAAGTGACATTCAAATACTTTAAATGCTATTTTGAATGCCATTTTTTTATTTAAACCTCTACTTTAGAGTATAAGAGTATGAATGTAAAAAGTACCAAAATGCTAAGTTCCAAATCCTGAAAAAAATGTCTTTGTATTTTTTCAGTTGCAATTTATTTAATTTTATTGTTTCTATTCATCTTTCTTAAGTTATTTTTGTATTTTGTATTTTTGTGAATGAATTTTTCTTTGCAAAATTCAATTTATGTCAATTATGATAGAGTATGTACCATTATGTAGAGTAATTAAACTATATTTCAAGTATAAATATTTTGTCTTGCTAATAAAAAAAAATTTTGCTAATAATTTTTTTTTTTATCAAGTATGTGTTAACACAGACTTGATAAAAAAAATGGTAGATCAATGGGTTGTATATTGTATTTATATAAATTTTTAGATCTTTTGCTTCCTTGTTTACTTCAATTGTAAACAAGGAAGTCAATCAAAAATTTTTTTTTTCCATTTTTAACCATAAAAAAAGGGTATTTAAAAACTTTATAACCATTAACACCTTATA